GTACTGTTTAGAGCAATGTAGTGTAATTTTACTTTGTATAAATTGCAAACTTTTATTCACAAAACATGGGTACTCAATCACTTTTCAAACTTTAAGAAAAGCTTATGAAACCAATAATTAAGAGAAACAATAGTGGGGGGGGGTGATTTCTAAACTGGCCATATTGAAAAATTGCTTATACTTCATCTTTAAGATGAAGATGCCACATTAGGGAAATCTAGTAATTACAGATTGTCCTTTTTTATGATGGATTTTTTTTGGAGAAGAACTGAACAGTTTTCCCACTTTTATGAGCCTACATTATGATTCTTCCTTTACTTATCAATAAACTGGGGGTGGCAATGGGATGTTCATTTTAAACAGGACATTAGGTCAGGTACTTCCCTGATCTCAAAATTCCAGGTGAAATCATTTACATCCCAGGTGAATCACTTCTTGAGAAGGCCCTAAAGAAACTGCTGCACACATCTTGAAATCAAATTTCTATGAAAACCAATTTTTCATCTACCACTTTATCCTTGGACTTTCTAAGAGTACTCCTTGTTGGGTCGTGCATTGTACCTCTCAAGTTAGTCTTCCCACCTAAAATGCCTTGTACCCCTACTTTAATTCACCTTTCAAGGGACCCAAGTTTTTCTTTTTTTATTGAAGTACTGTTGATATACAATCTCATATTGGTTTCAAATATATACAACACAGTGGTTCAACAGTTACCAATATTATTAAACCCTCACCCCGACTAGTGCAGTTACTATCTGTCAACATAGGAAGATGTTACAGAATCACTGGCTATATTTCCCATGCTGTAGTATCATCCCTGTGATTAACTTATATTATGATTGAGAATTTATGCCCTTTTATCCCCCCACCCTCCCCATGGTAACCACATCACTTCTCAAGTGTCTATGAGTGTACTGCTGTTTTGTTCCTTTTATTTTGCTCTGTTTTTATATTCCACAAATAAGTGAAATCATATGGTATTTGTCTTTCTCCACTCAAGGCCACCAAGTTTGAAGAAAGCAAGATTTAGTCAACACTATCACCACAGTCTCAGTTTTCTTTCTTCTGGTAGTTTCCCTTTGTCCTTTCCAAACGTTTGGTGCTTGACCCACGATATTAAATAGAATATTAACTTCATGTCCTCAGCCCCCTACTGCCTTTGTCTTTCCTCTCACATCCCTCCTTCAAACTGCCCTTCTATAGTTTAGTTCCTATATAACAGAATCTCAGCCACCTTGCAAGGCCCAGTTTGCTTAGCTTAAGTAACAACTTAACATCAGTATCTTCCCAGACAGTTTTGGACCATACAAATCATTTCTCCCGTAGTATATACAGAAAGTCTCTATCAATTTATCATGTACTTGCATATTTTATTACCTCCCATGTGTTTTAATCTTCTTGATAATATTATAAATTCCTTGTAATCAAGGCCTTTCATTTTTGTAAACACTTTGGTGAGGTGAAAGTACAAAATATATATAGTTGCAGCCAATAAATACTGTTTAAAAGACTGATGTTATTTTTTTTTCAAATTATCCTAATTACCTTGCTCATATTCCTTATTTCCAAAGATAGCACTTTACTTTTGTACTTACATGTCCATTCTTATTACTTGAATGATGCAATATGCCCCAATTACATCTTGGGACAATGAAGATAAGATGGCACAGTATCACTACTGTCCTTTAGGAGCATGGACATTAACTATATCTGCTAGTTTGCAAATCTCTTGACATCCTGGATATTAGTGATGGTTTTGTTGCTCTTCAAATTCAAGCATAAAGATGTACAAGTTACCATGCTTCAATAATGAGAACACTTTTCCTGGAAACAATTTTACCACATGGTGGACTTTACTGGAGTATGTAAACCTGAATCGCACTGAAGTAACTGTCGTATTTTTGCCAAATAAAATTAATGGATGAAATTTTTCTATTTTAAAGATGCATATTTACAAATATGAAAAAGGAGGATCTAAGCACACTTGAGGTATTTACTGGTGTCTTAACCCAACAAGTATCCCAGACATTTAACAACCCTTTTGATAAGCAACAAACAAGCTTTTTTATCTACTTTACCATGTAATAGAAATTTTCATCTTCAAATTTTTCACCATAAATACTTTCTCCACCTGTCCCATTCTGATTGGAGAAGTCTCCACCCTGAATCATAAATTTCTTAATAACTACAAAAAAAGAGAAACAGGTTTCAGAATTTAAGATATAGGTAACTAGAGCAATGTTAACTAATGAATATGTAATAAACACAACGTCCTAAAACATAACTTCAGTCATGTCCACTGTCTTTCCCCACACATCCCCACAACTCTAAACTCTTAAAAAAACTTCACAATCTGAGTCCAAACTACTTTTACTGCCTGGTCCCTAACAATCAAAGTATTAGTTCAAATGGTGGCTCCTCAACAAAATTACTGAGACCCCAAAGTTGGATCTCTTAATTTTCTGCCACAGAATCTTGGCTCTACCACTATTTTATAACATATCGTAACAATCTGTCTCTTCCAGCAAACAGCTGCTTAAATATAGCAGCTCTGTTTTCTTCCTTGTGTGCTTGGCTGGACACATATTACTCAATAATGTCTACTGAATAAAGACTACTGCCAGAAGATTTGTTACACCATAACAGAAGCACTTCAGCAGTTATCATCACTTGGTGTCAAGGGTTCTCAAGACCAACCCCAAGTTCAGAGACTCCATGGGACTCATATTTGGTGTACCACAGTGATGGAGTAAGGATACACAGCTGAGTGATAAAGAAAAAAGATACAGGCAGAGTCTGGAGGAACCCACGTGCTTTCTTATTCCTTCACCCACCCATGAAAGGTCACAAAACACATCCATCACCAGCAAAGAAAATGCAGCAACATGTGTACAGTGATTCTTAACAAGAAAACCCATTAGAGACTCAGCACTCAGGGTTTCTACTGGCGCTGATCATGGAGATGCTCTCATTAGAGACTCAGCACTCAAGGTTTCTACTGGGGTTGATCATGGAGATGCTCTCTGCCTGGCATGTACCAAAATTCCAGACTCCCAAAAAGAAAGCAGGTGTTCAGCGTAAATCAAATTGTACAGTCTAGGCATTGTAAACTACCTGTATGATTCAGGGAATGGTTCAAGTGCTAAGTTATCGAGTTCTTGCTTATGGCAAGCAACACTTGCAAGCAAACTTTTCTTAGGATAGCAGTTTCAAGCCTGCTATGTGAACTCTTTTCCAAATACTACACTTTATTAGCATATTTTGGTAAACAAACATGAAAACAGACCAAGTTTAAATATTTTGAAAATTTTTCCTGTCTTTTTTAAAAACAGTACCTACTCATGATTATAGTTTAACTTACTTGTCAAACTTGTCAAACTTGTCAAAGTGTCTATTCATTAAACAAACATTGAGTGCCTACTCAATAACTATACTAGACACTAAAGACAAATTGGTAAGAGGATGGTTAAGACTTGAACAATGCAGAAGTTAAGCCAACGCTCTGCAGTCAAAACTCTGCATACAACTTTTGACTCTCCCAAAACTTTATAGCCTACCATTGACCAGAAGCCTTATCAATAACAAACAGATTTGTGTATTACATACTGTATTCTTACACTAAAAGAGATGTTTTTTCATATTGCTATACATTTTCAAAAATGTTTCCAATATATTTACTGAAAAAAATCTGCATATAAGTGGACCCACATAATTCAAACCTGGGTTGTTCAAAGGTGAACTATAGTTCCTGAATTCATGGAATCTAAGGTCTATTGGGGGACATACCAAAAAAATCGCTAAACGAAGGTATGACTAACAAAATACAATATGCAGTATTAAATGTCATCTTTTCATCAATCATCATTTAAAGTCTCCAAGACACAGTCTTTAAATAAATATGGTGCAGCCTTCCGAAAAAATCCTGCCCAAAACATTGGTATAACTTTTTTGTCACCAGGCAGTCAAGCTAGCAAGGACTGCTTATTTATAAAGGCCACACCCTTCTTTCTCTAATTCCGATGCAGGGAGGAGATACAGGAGCAGCGAAGTTAGGGTAGCCCATTACTCTATAAATGAACTTCAGTACCCTCCTATAATTAATTCCATCTTTCAGAATCCAGCTCTCATGAAGCTGAGCTACTGCCTCGGATGTCAAAGTGTCCTCTTGGGAATTAATAGTAATGTTTTACCTTTACCCCCTTTATAGCATTTTCTTCTCTAACTCCTACAGAACAGGATTTGACTTAGCCAGAAGAAGAACCAGACTCAGAAAATTTACACATACTTCGATGGAAAGGGCATCCTTTGAAATGGAGAGGTTTCCCAGTGGTGGGTCCAATGCCTTTTTCTCCTGTACACAATGCACGAAAATTTTCTGCAGTTTTAGGTACAATATCTGCAAACAATTCTAAGACAATTCGACCAACTAAAAGAAAAATTTGAAATCGTGTCAGTATGCAAAATAACAAATCAAATAAGCAAATAAAAAGACAGTTGTAAAATTATGATGACTGAGATACCAAGTTTTTGTCATTCTTCTAATATTCAAATTTAATCTAAGTAATATTTAGCATCATATTTCATGGGGAAAAAAAACAATTATTTTTTTCCCACATCTTACAAAGGTATCATCTAGATGAACTTAATCTTTTCTATATCTTACAAAGGATCATTAATACAATAGTCAGAAGATTACCACAATCTCAGGGAGACCACGGAGTACAAATGGCTTTAAAGTATGAGTAATTTCTTCCACGTGTACTCAAAATTTCCAATCACCAAGTAAGCAATAGGAGAAAACGACGTATCCTTTGTCGGGATGTTGGAGTTTTAGATATAGCTGCAGCCTTTGTGCTCTGTGGAACCTGCATAGTGCAGCCTCGGAAGCAAAAAGTTCCCATTCTAGACAACAACTAAAGCAGTTAAAAATAAACCTAGCACTAGTTCCAAAACAAACTACACATATGTGTGTGTCTGTATCCATAACCACCCACGGGGTTCCTGAATCCTGATGTGTCTGTATAAGCATTCAAACATATATACTGCCTGGCCAGCAATTGTAACACGCTTCAGAACAATCACAAAGCAATATGCTAATTAGTAAGACCGTAGCCGCTTCCAAGCGGCTACCGTAGCCTGGGCAACCACAACTCTAAGTGAGCCCCTTTCCCCAATGCCAAAACAGAGAAAATATTCACCAACCTGACTGCACCTCTAAATTAAAAATCAGTAAGTCACTTTAATTAATAAACAAAATGGCAACTGCTGATATATCTCGCGTGGCAAAAGACACGGCGTGCCTGGTGCCCTGCAGACGCATACCCCGGGGGGTGGGAGGTTCTGAATGGTCACATGCCAACCTGATGGCGCAAGGTGAGGAAGAGCTACCAAATCAAGAGAGACGAACCTAAAGGCCACTGCAATCACCGAACCAGCAATTTCCTGACACTTCCGCACGACCGACGGCATTGATACAGGCGCACCGGCTCCACCCAGTCCTGGAGGCCTGGGTCGGCTCCAGGAGCCCGGCCTCTTGGCGCCACAGCCGACCCAGCCCGAACCGCGCCCCGTCCTCGGTGGGCCCCGAGCCCCGGGAAGCCCGGCCTCCTCAAGGCCGTTCCGCGTGTACCAGACTCCGCTCACCTCGCTCCCCTGCGATGTCCACATCAAAGAACACTCGGGGGTTACTGGGGCTGGAGGGCTTAGCTTGAGGGGAAGGGTGCGACATTCTGACCACAGACGTTTGGAAGAGAGACCAGAACAGCACGTGGGCGCGCGCCCGCTGCGACCCCAGAGCCGAGCTTGCGGAGAAACGCGGGAGGCGGTGCTGACCGGCACTTCCGGCGAGAGGTCCGGAAGCTGCGGCCCGACTTCCGGCTCCGGCTCCCGCCGGCGTCACCGCGCGCTGGAGGTGGCGGGTGTTTTGTCGTCTGTACTCTGTCGTCCAGTTCTCAGTCTTTTCTCTTTCGCTGAAGTTGTGACCCCAATTCTTTCCATTCTTTTCCCTTGTGTTTCATGCTTTTCCTACCGTCGTCGTGTAGAAGAGGTTTGGAGACGGCCATCCTGCATTCCAGCCTCAGGTCCGCCACTAAATGGTGTGTGATCGCTTCTCTGAAAGTCAGCTTGTCTCTGGAAAATGGAAATAAAAATGCTTACCTTAAAGGGTCGTTTTGAGAGTTAGAGACGTAAATCACTCAGCACAATGCCTGACGGCCTGGTGGTACCTAATAATAGTTGCGGCATTATTGTTACAGTTTGAGCTTCACGTTACCAGTGTTAAGTGGTATCCAGATAGCTGAAACTGAGAGTCCAAAAGAGCAGTTTTGATTCCTAATAAAACTGCATTATTATGCTCCACTTACCCTTTATGGGAATTTGTGTAAACATTTTACCTATTTATATGAAGTCTCAACTGTTAATAAAGCCTGGTTTTGAAAAGTGTTGTGTTTCTTAGCTCTTGTAATATTCTAATTATTAGCGTTATGTATTTAATCTCTCATGAGCATTAAACTAGAGGAGGACAGGAATTTGGTTTGGTTTGGTGTTTTTCATTGCTCTGTCCTCAGCACTTACACAGTGCCTGGCACATAGGTGCTCAGTAAATATTTTTGAATGAATCAATGAGTTTTATGGAATGCTAATAGTGTTGAGAATATTTATAAAAGAATGTTAAGAAATTTCATTTCCACGTATAATTTAAGAAGGTTGTCTATCAGTTTTTCATGCTGATCCATTTACATTCCCGCACATAAAAATTTATGTAAAATGTAAATTTCTTACGAATTGATGTCCAAACTTTTACATCTTAACCTACTATTCATTAGTATGATGAATATCATTATGACTAACTAGGCAGCATAGCTAAGCACTTTTCTGCCTTCAGACTTTTGGGTTCAAATTCAGTCTCTAGTAGATTAATACCTTGCGACTTTATGTAAGTTACTTAGCCTCTCTATGCCTTATCTGTAAATTAAGATAATAGTATTTATTAAGGTTTTTTATGAGGATTAAATGAATTATTTAATTGTTTCAGTATCTGACACATAGTAGTCAATAAGTGGAAGCAATTATTATTAATCAAACAGCTAATACTTCATTATAATAATTACTAATACCAATATATTTCAAAATGAAAGTTAAAACTGCAAAGGTGCTTTGAGGATGCCTCTGCATTCTCAGGAAACATAACATGATTCTTCCTGTTGTACATGTTTTTGGGTGTAAAAGACTAACCTAAATGTTTCACTGTGTGTAGATTTTTCACAGTAAAGTAACAGCTTTATATAAACTGTTATATTCCTAGAATAAACCCGAATAATAGAATCATACCTTTCAAAACCACTCTAGAACTGATCTCTAGTGAAAAGATAAGTCCTTCTAGAAGAAAACCTGTCCCATTGTCAGTCTGCTTACTTAAAACAGAGCTTGAGTTCTGAAATCTCACCATCTGTAGCAAGAAGCAGAGAAGACCATGCACTCTTTCTTAGGGCTAAGGACATGATTTCCTCTGGATAGAGGTATGAACAATTGCTCTAAGAGCATCATTATTTTATTTCTGCATGTTCCTCATAAGTGTGGTGGGATAGTATTAACACACTGCTTCCCCTACCCAATATTCTCTTCTTTGATTCTCTTTTTCTGTCACTCTGCCCAAACAAGCAGCTAGGCATTCTGTGCCCACTACCTTAAGAGACAGATGTGACAGCAAAGAAAGCAGAGGGGGAAAGGGAATCTCTTCCTGGCTTTGGTTTATAAGGCTTGGCTTTATAGGAACATAAAAGACACCTGGCATACAAAGAGATTTGGACAAAACATTTTTTCTAAAATCATGGCTTTCCACTTGCAGAAAATAGTAAAACTAAAGCAAATAAACCTATCTCCTGGGCTGGAAAAGGGGGGATGGGAAGATATCTGGGGGTCTATGGATGGTAGAGAAGAGAGTGGGAGGGGACGCAATGGCGAGGCAGATTTTCTCTAAGGATGGAGAATCTGAACCGTGTTCTCTGGTCACATCCCTGAAAAGCCAGCAAATCTCCATAGATAGGTTTGTGAGAACTGAGAGAAAGTTTGCCTGGATTCCTGAATATAGTCCCAGAAGATGGCAGGCCCTACAGAGAGAATATGAATTCATAGTGAAAGGAAGTATAGGGAAACTAGACAGACTCCCAAAGATTTGCTACACTCTTAATTTGGAGTGGAAACGAAACAATATCCCTGCATACCAAAGTGTGCCATGGAAGAGGAAAGACAGCGTCCACACTTACAAGGGAGTCTGCAGAAGGGACTCTGGACTTACTAGAGGCATGAGAGAACTGATGACTGAGTTAGGTTGTCCAGTTCCCATTGGATGCCTATGAAAACAGAAGCCATTGAGAACCAGAGCTCCCAACTCCATAATTTACCACCATACTAGTAGACATTATGAAATTTAGATCCAACCATAGGGGGGAAAAAGGCAGGACACCAGAAATCGGCAAAGACCATGGCATTACCAACCCTTTGGAACAGGCAGTTCAGAATTGAACTTAAAGTGGATTATAGAAAAAGAAGCTTGTGTTCCCTACAAATCTGAGTTCACATCTTTACACAAGTATAGGTTGTGTATTACTGAAATCCACACTAGGACCCAGACAAGTTTGAAGTAACTCCTTGTCAAAGGTAAGAAGTTAGAAAAGACATCAGAGTTTGGGGAGAAAGTTTCAGGATCCTATCTGTTGAGAGTCAGGCTCTGGCAGCAAAATTGGATCTCCAAGAGGTTAATTAACATATAATTCTTTAAGGAGATAATATAAAGTAATTCTGCTGTAGAGGAAGGTAATGTATGTTGGTGTTGATGAGGAGGTAATGTCTGGGAGAGTCCTAACTAAGGATCCCTGCTCTGAACTGCACAGGGCAAGTGCTGTTTCCACTACAAGATCAATAATTCCAGGTCAGAATGGAGGAGCAACTCGGGCTCTGCCAGCTAAATTTACGACTATCTAAAGATAATTGTAGGTTTCTGAGCTAAAACACTGAACCAATGGAAGACAGTATTTGCCATCAGGGGACAGTAGAGTCTCTGCCACCAGCAGAAATTATCCCAAAGACAAAAATAGCACAGTGTACTTTGTGCCTGAGGACTCCCAACTGACAAGATTCTTCTAGGAGCTGGAAATGTTATGACAAAAAGAAAAAAGAAAAAAGGATATTGTTATCAGTTTACAATAACACCAAGTAAGAGAAGGTGTAACTTTTCTGAGGAGGAATAATTATAAGATAAATTCGAACTGCTTTCAGTTACAAAATATGTATTTATCTGCTAAAACAAAACCAATGATACAATGAATTGAACCAACAAAAACCATTGTTCAAATCCTTGGTACTCCTTTCCTCTGAAGAAAAAACTGACATCAATCTAAATGGCTTCCTTAAGATGGATTTTATGATGATTACAAACAAAAATAATAACAAACACCATTGATCATTGCTACTTGCCAAGCTCTGTGCTTTACATACTTTGTTATTTAATCGTCAAACTAACTCTGTGTCATAGGTAATCTTATTATCCTATTTTACTTATCAGACAAATAAAGGCTAGAGAGGATAAGAAAGTGAACTGATAAAATTGCAAAGCTACTTCACAGTGTATTAGGAGGACAAAACCTGACAATCCATCTTTAAACCTGTAAAGTTTAAATATGGGTAAGAAGCACCACCATGATATATAAAGGGTCCTTGAGCTCATGACTTGAACACTGGACTTGCTTTATCCTTACATAACTCAGCTTTAATCTGGCATGGAGCTTCTATACCTTTTGAAAGTATTCTTATCTATAGAATATGAACTGAGGCAAATAAACACTTTTTCATCGAAAATGAAAACAATAAAACTTCCTCCTAATCACTTTGCACAGAGGTTAGAGTTGGTGCCAATCTTCTGGCATCTCCATTAATTTCCCTAATTTGGGGCAGAAATTGAAGGCAGAAAAACTAAAAGATAATGTAAGCTCTTATAGAACATTACACTAAGTAGTATAGTTTATACAGAGGGGGCCCGTTAGGAGATGGAGAATTCTGTGACATGTTGGATTTTTAGCCAATGTAGGATTTTTAGTAGAGTTAACATGAAAAGATTTGCATTTTTTGAAAGGCTGATCTGTTCTAGCATGGAGAACAAAGTCATAGGGAGCCACAGTGAATGTATGGAGGGCAATGAGCCTGTCACTAGTGGTAAGATGATTTTACCTTGTACTAAAATGTTGATAGTAAAAACGGATAAAAATTGTTGGATGAAAAAGGCATATGGGCAGAGGCTGTAAAATCAAGAGTTCCAAGTAATGGATTGGATATGGGATGTAGCAGAGAAGAATGGATGAAGGATGCCACCTGGCTTTCTGGGATACACAGTCAGATGGGGAAGCTATTCTGGGATGGAGAACACTGGAAGAAGATACTATTTAAGTGGAATATTGTAAGTTTGTTCTTGGGTGTGTTGAGTTCAAGGAACTGTTGAGATATTCACATGGCGAAGTTGAAGTTAATTGGAAATATAATAGAAGTCTAAGACTAAGGTCGAAATTTAGGTGACATTAGTATATAGATGATAATTTCATGGGGACAGTGTGATTGCTGAGGGAAGAGAATAGAAGGTTGAGTAGAGAAGAGGTCCTAGAACAGAGCCTTGAGGAACCACAATATTTAAAAACCAAGCAGAGAAGAATGTGTCTACAATTAAGGCAGAAGAAAAGAAACGTAGGAAGACAAAAACAAGAAGAGAATATGGTATCATTGAATCCAGAGAAAGAAAGAATGTTTCAAGAGAGTGAAAAACAGTTTGACTGGTAAACCTGGGAAGTTAAGTAGAAAGAGGATTGATGTTCGTTCACTGAACTTAGTGACATGGAGGTCTTCGGTGACCTTGTTGAGATGTTAATAATCAATGACATTACATTTCCAATGGAATAATTTGGGATTATTAATGTCTTAAATTCATAGTATTAAATTTATTCTCAATCATTTTTAACATTATCTTTATTGCCCTTAAATTTATTGAGAATTATAAGTACAATACAGAATTCCCATAAATATGTTGATTGTCTTTGGAAAAAGGTTTTTTTCCCATGGTGAGATCCAGTTCCTTTGGCAGAATCATTTGTAGGAATTAAAAATACTACTGAATACCTACTGTGTACCAGATGCTTTTA